TTCGGTTTACTGCTTATGTGCGCTTGTCGCATTTTTTTTTATCCACCTGCGGTCAATCGGCTGTCAGGTTACTGTTTTCTTACGATGTTTCGGACGGTTTCACGCCTTAGTATTTATGAGCAAATAAGACCGACTGGAGCTACACTTCCCAGACTGTACGGACTTCCCAAAATTCACAAACCGGGAACTCTCATTCGTCCCATATTGTCGATGACAAACTCACCTTACCACAGTGTTGCACGCTGTCTGTCCGAACTACTGGAGCCAGTCAAACAACATATGGCCATACACAGTTTGAAAGGCTGTCTGTCCGAACTACTGGAGCCAGTCAAACAACATATGGCCATACACAGTTTGAAAGATACGTTTGATTTCATACGTCGGATAAAGGATGCTAACCTAAAGGGCAAAACGATGTTTTCACTAGACGTCGAGTCCTTGTTCACAAACGTACCACTAGTAGAGACCATCCATTTCTTAGTGAATTACAGTGACGAAAACAACCCTAATATTGGCTTACCATCGCACGGTCTGCGCGAACTCTTACTCCGTTGTACACCAAATGTCCAGTTCCTACTCAACCAAACCTTGTTCAGACAACGAGATGATGTGGCCATTGGATCACCACTAGGTCCACTCCTTGCTGATGTCTTCCTCGCAAAACTGGAAAGAAATAAACTGAAGTCGGTAATAAATAGTTTTAAACACTACTATTGATATGTGGACGACATATTTTGTGTGACTGTTACTAGCTGTGACTTAACATCCGTGTTATTGGAATTTAATAAGGCGCACAAAGCAGCACGTTTTACAATCGAACATGAAACGAACAATCAACTATCCTTTTTGGATGTATCTCTTGGTCGAATGGAAGATGGTCGGATCGTACGAAAGGTGTACCGAAAACGGACATGGACTGGCCAGTGCACCAATTTCAATAGTTCCGTTAGCATTCAACAGAAACGAAACTTAGTCAAATGCTTGGCCACCAGGGCGAGGACAAATTGCTCTAAGGAGGTGTTGGATGGTGAGCTGACGCTCATTAGAAACACCTTGCGTGAGAACGGATACCCGTATCGTTTTATCGAAAGAAATCTGATTGAACAAATGCCGAAAACTCCCATGCAAACTGTGAGAAAGAAAGATTTGTTCATCAGTTTGCCATTCAAAGGCGAAATCTTACTTCGACGACTGAACAGGGAGGTTGGCATCGCCTTCAACGCTGCTAAGTTACGGTGTGTGTTTCGCGGCGCTTCAATGATCCACATTCAAAACAAGGATAAACTGTCGATGCTGACCTCAGCAATGGTTGTATACTCTTTCAGATGCGTATGTGGCGCATCTTGTGTTGGTCAAACGGCACGACAGCTATCTAACCGGATCAAAGAGCATCACCCACGATGATTAAGACTAGGACAGACCGGATTAATAAACAAATCCATCCTATTCCATTCAGTCGACACCGGACGTCGCCTCCAGAGTTGTTTATCGTGTCCCCTACACCAAGTGCAAGGGTGTTCAACTGCGCACCCTAGCAATAGCCGGAGCGATCGGGATAAGAAAGTTGACCCCTGACCTCTGCGCCCAAAAGCTTTTGGTTCAATCACTCCAACTTCCATGGCCCGTGATCGATAAGGCCCGAGTGTGTCTGCCATCCTGTCACCCTGAGGCCGTAACTTAGTTAAACCAATCAAATGACAAATGCCAGTTGACTATGACAAACTCTTACCCATGATTGGTGATGTCTAACTGTGTAATCTGTTTTCTAATGTTACCTATGTAATCTGTAAACGGCTTGAGAAGGAATTATTGAAAACAATTGTTTCGCCAAACTGTTTTTGTTCTAAATGCTGTGATGGGCATCTTTCAGACATTGAATTCAAACTGCGCGGGATTTTATTATGCCCGCACGATTTCCGTCCGTTTTTTGTGTCTACCAGAATTTCTGGTTGCGACGCAATTGAGTACCTTGTCCGGACATTACAACGTTCGGTGCTGAATCCATCATTGGATTTCCGATCCTACCCACATTTGGTAAAACATGAGCGCTGTGCCCCCCCCCTCCTGCGTGTTGTTTGGCAACTGTGAACTCCCACACCGTGTGTTGCTTTTGAGTTTTTCATGTGTACAGGTGTTTTAGAGGATAATTTACGAAGCTCTTATTGTTGTGGCCCTCTTTGGGAGGGAGGAGTGTGTGAAGAAAAATAAGTCGATTTCCAAAACATTCCCATGTGATACTGGGGGTTCAAGGGTTGTGAACCAGAACAGCCACTTGGTGATGGCATTAGTGTAGTTGTGGTAATGATTGAAATGATTCTTATTGGCTTTTATCGGTTTGTAAAGTCCTTTACCGTTGTCAGGATCAATGCCGCGCATTTTCGACAGGGTATTGTGTTTTTACTCACTCCAAACCCATGGGGCTAGACTGACGGAATAATAGTGATTACTCGTTAGTAATATTTTTATCCCTTCCTGCGTTTTTTATCACTTAATGGGACAAAATCAGGCATTTTGTCTACGGATACCGTTCATTACATGTGACTAGTATCCAAATAGCAAGTGTTTTTTTCACCATTTATCCAAGATACAGTGTCATTAGCAATGGCTCCTTGTCTGTTCTCATGTTTGATCAGGTCGAAAATTCCGCCGCCTTAATCCAAGCCGCACGAAATCTGATGACCGCAGTTGTACTGACCGTGAAAGAAAGCTACATCGCCTCGACCAAATATCGCGATCCGGCTGGACAAAATCGACCAGTGGTCCGATGGCGAATGCGTGCCCCGGCCAAAAAACCTTTAATCACACCGGATACCGATTGGGATGAATTGGGGCCTGAATTGAATGATGATCACGAGGAAGATGAGGATGACAATTTGATCCGATCCAGCCGTTCTCGATCGGTCAGACGATCGGATGCGCTCAGTGAACTGGCTGAGTTTGATCATCCACTCACCCCGGTGCCGCGGTACGGAGTGCGCTAAGATGGGCTCAGACATCCGGAACAGATGCCCCCACGTGAACGCTTCAGTCGAATGATTTCTGTATAGCTTATGATCTTTGTTGCAGTTCAGTAAACTTTTTACCGATAAAAATGTGTTTCCTAAGCAGTATTATTTTGCTGTTGGATTTTGTTTCCTAAAATCCCTTCATTTCTCTCTTTCTCTGTCAAATGATCTGGTTCCTTCTCGTGCTTGGAGGGTTTTCGGAAAGAGAGAGAGCGAAGGAGGAGTCGCGTGACTTCTGTCAGGTTATTCTTTCCGATCGATCATATCTGATTTGAATCCGCGTGTTGCAATCGTGGCTGTGACTTTTTTGTACTGATATCCTCTATTTTGAAACCCCAAAAGTGCCTGTATATCGGCCCTTCACTCGAGTTTATCCCTCAAAGTCCAAGTAGTGGGCCGGATTTTCGCACATTCATGTTTGATAGTTTTTTTGCTTCATGAAATGCCTGTATTCACTGATTTGTATCCCCTCAGTCTGTCACTCTTGCACTCTGTTTTTCGATGCAGTTTTTTCTCTTATGATTATTCACAATTCCGTGATTGCATTCAGTCGATTTCCCCAGATTTTCGCGAGGTGCGGCACAATTTCGAGCATGTCTTTTTCTTTGTCTTCTCTAATGATGAAATATCGCATTTTTATTTCCCGCTTCTTATCTGTAGACAGGCAAAGTGGGTGACAGAAATTGACATGGGGAGAGCAACGAGTTTGTAGATCGAATTTTTATTACCCGTACATGATCCCGTTTATCGTCGCTCTGTCGCGTATCTTCCACGTGCACATGTCGTTCACTTGAATCGAAAGAGTGAACTTTGTTGCTAGACTAATAGAGTTTCTGTATTTGATTGCCGAAGTATTGCTCGCGTCTGATGGGAACATCGTGTGAGCAATGTCGGGGTTCGTCTTCATGTATTGGGTGCGGATAGTCGTTCTCTAAAAGAAGTAATCTCTCTACATCGCTTCCAATGGTTTGGTCATTATTTACGTATGCTTGCCTATCGTCAACCTCTTCGTGCTCTCTTTGCACGTGCTGGGCAAGGCTTGAAAAAGTGCCACGGCTGTCAGTCCATGATATGGCGTAGCGGTATGAAGAAGCTGGCTCGGATAGGGGCCGAAGGGTTAAGGATTGTCATTGATAAAAACACGCTGAGAAATATGGCCCAGGATAGAAGTCAGTGGCGCGAATGCTGTGCGGTCTGCCTATTACAATCTCGTACCCCGTAAAAACGATAAACGAACACAAGAATACCAAAAACGTGTACGGTGAAAAGTTTATCTTAATCTGCTGTCATTGTTTGATTTCCATTTCACTGTTTCCCCCATTCTCTCTTATTCTTTTTGTTGCGTTGGCACCACGCTTGTTTGTAAGCCTATATACATATACTGTACTGGCCGATTGTGATGCACTAAAATATTTTCTTTATGATCAAAGGGAGTTTCATTATATTTATCACCCATAATAATGCTTTAGTTACGGACAATAATTTATATCTTGTCTACTTCGATGTACGTAGTTTCTGGGCTGCATGATTGTCAATTAAACGTACCTGACCTTGAGTGCCATGAATAAATGATCTGAACATGAGAATCGCGAACTGTATCAAGTATGACAACGCAATACTTTCCAATATGAATGAACATGAATGAAGCAAGCAGCAGTGCGTCATTTTAGCGATCGATTTATTTCGCCTGACGAGTGCATGGTGTACGACGAGCCTTGGAAGGCTCACACAAATGTCATTTGTAGTGAGAATTTCCCAAAGGAACTTATTCCACCAAATGAAAGAGTTTCTCACCCGTCGAGATTACTCATTTGGGCAGGAATAAAACATGGTCAGCCTTGTCGGTGGACATCAGGCAAAGGCACCATGAATAGTGCGAAATTTGCATCAATAATTTCGAAAATTTTTCTAGAATTTCATGAAAAAGAATCGTTTTTCAGAATAACGCTCCGTGTCATGTTTCACGAGAGATTATTAAATTTATTTAGTTAAGTAGTCTGGTTCACTTATTATTTGTCTTCAGACTTCAGAAAAGATGCGTGACTCTGAGGTCCAGTTCATGCAACTTCCTCCTAATATTCCGGATCTCAGCGTGATTGAAAATCTGTTTTGAAGAGATAGGTCAATGTGCTACCTATGCATTGAACCTTGGAGGCAAAAGTGCGATACGTAGTGGAGCACAACAGAGAAAATGACTTCATAACAAAGTTGGTGGGTTTGACACCGAAGAGACTCAAAAAAGTTCTAAAGAACAAAAAGAGACTAATCGACCACTAGTGTACACAAACTTTACATCTTGCTTATTATCAATGTTAATTTGTTGTTAATAAAAACTGTTCCATTCTCTTTAGTTAGCTCTTAACTCATCATGGTCTCAGTCAACTACTACTGATGAAATGGGAGTATCCGCTACATTTTGAACCATTCCATCTGCTGAGTATAAACGATTTAGGAAAATCACGGATATAAAGACTCTCCAAGACTTGTTTATCATAAGTTTTGAAAAAAAAGTTTCTTCAGTATAAATGCTGTTGCCCATACGAACCGACAAGTGTTTCACAGGGACCTGTTGATTCAGTTTCGATTAGACCTGTATATGTGACGGCCAGCCGTCAGACTGCTCGCGTCCACCTCATCCCCTATCGGCACAAGGCGAACAAACCCTGGCCAATCAGGCAACGCCAAATCACTCAACGACCTATCTGAGGAAGAGGACACTCGTAAGCGCTCACACAGTTACTGCTTCGAGAATGTCAACTCGATTGGTGATGAAATGTTTGCAATAAAATTGCCAAGCTCGGCGAACAACTGAACATCACAACAATCTTGTTTGCAACACTGGGTGTCCATTGGAGAATCAATGCTATGATTTGATGTTTTGCAAGTGGGTTAGATGCCACTAATCGCAACAAACGTAACCTGATGGCCTTTGTAGAATATTTCACAAGAAGTAGTATGTAAATGACTGTACAGGGAAAATTTGTCCAGTCATTCACATACTACGTATTGTGATATATATAATAAGCTGTTCAGGGAATCGGATACTCTGCACCCCCAGAGTAACTGTACCCGCTGGAGAAACTACTCTTAAGCATGGTACAGCGTCCACTAATCAAGTTAAGTCAAATGAATCATCCCCTGTGGGCTGCAAAAGATAAATTTCATCAGTTCTTGCTCCTGACATGAAACAGTATTTGGACAGGTTGGAGACCATAGGCAATCGAATATGATCTAAAGCGATATAGTTTGTCGCAGTTGTTGAGGAAATAAGGTAATCATGATACAACCGACGAACGGTGGTGCGTGATTGTTTGCGCATGAGAACACAATAGTTTGTGCCCGTAAACGGGTAGAAAAGGTGCAAGTGCATTTTCTGAGGTCATGGTAAACTGAAGAAAGGTGGTCTGTCGAATGCCCTATCTTCGAATTCTTTGAAACAACAAATATGATGCGTTAACCCCACTCCCGAGGACTACTTAGACAGATCTTTCAGGGACTTGCAAATCAATCTGAAGTGAGTGGATTAAGGAAAATTTCCGAATCACCACAAAGGCAATTAGGCAATCAATATGCAGGCAGATGTAAAATGTTTATTAAGTAAGATATAAAACGGTGGACAAAATTGAAGTACAGATTATAACGGTACATCATCCATGTGTGTTTGGCAATCAATTAGTGCATCAGATTGCGTTTGTGATTGGTCGGTAATGTTACACTCTTGGTACAGGCAGGCTGGCTTGGGACGTAAGATAACTCGCAATTCACTCTCAGTTACTCGTCAATAGGGGTGTGAGATACATGTTATGGATTTGAACTGACCATCCTTCAGACTAAATCACTCAACGTAGTTCATCCAGTCAACTGCACATTCGGGAAGCCCTAAACTCCATTTTCGTTCTTATTAGATCTCATCAGTAGTGTACTGTTCTGAATGTGCGGTTCACTAGATGAACTCAATGTTACTGTTTTCAGATCCATATCATTACGCTGTGTTCATTGATGCAGCTGAAATGTTTGAATTGAGGTTTCCGTGGCTGGAACATTTCAATGGCTTGCTTATATCTGCTTTGCACGGAACTCGCGTAACGCGACTGTAGTCAGTTAGCGGTGTCAAGCAACAATCTTTCGTGGATCAAAATGCACCTCAGGGATATTTTGAATTTGATGCAAATGGTTTGAGCGATTTGAAGTGCAAACAGGTTGAGTCCCCCGAGAGTATTTGTTCATCTTTCATTTAATGCGTGCATAGAGCTATAGGGATAGTGTCACTGGGTGGTGGAGGTGGGGTGATGCTCGAATGTCGACAAAAATCTCCATGGTCGATCTGTACGACAAAGTCGATCACTGTTGAATATGTCGAGTCGGTTGTTTCATAAGAATACTTTACTGGGTGAATTAAATATTTTACGTTGAGGTCTTTCATGATTGAGAAAGTGTATATCAGGTCACTACTCAGAAATCTACCGCAAGTAGGAATTGATAACTTTAGTCTAATGGGGGATGTGTACCAAATTCCGCAGGTTCTATTTATGTGGTTCATCTTTGCTGTCAGGTCCGTCTTGAATAATGTGTCCGCGTTGATCCCGCAATCTATCTACTGCTGCGTGTTACGAGATTGAGTTACTGACAAGGTTTACAGTACCGTATATTAAGGACTTTGCTTCAATGCTCGCAGGAACAGATCTCCCACTTACTTTGTACGTAGTTAGAAGTAATATGATTGGTCGGGCCTGTACTAGTACCGGCACGCTTTGCCCATGCGGTTCACACTGTCATGATCAATAAATGCGCACCGATTATGTCTAATTTAGGGTGAAACCGCTGGAGAACTCTCGTGCTTGTTTCAGGTACCGTAAACAGTAAAAAGTCTTGGGCCTCTGGTAACTACACACCTCTAGTTCTTACCTCCTTTGTCCATGTTTTTTCCCGTTTCTGAAACATTTGTTGGATGAGTTTGACTGCCACACAGTTTGAAG